AATCAATTTTGCTCAATAACGAGTCGATAAAACTGACAGGGAAAATTTATAAACTGGACGATTTTATTGATTGCCTACGGTTTCCGTTTTGCTTAAGCTCACTGACCAAATGCCATCGTCGTCTTCTTGTTTATGGCTACAGGTGGAATACTTGAGAGTTGTTAGGCAGCTGGGTTGTTTTAATTAGTAGATGTTTGGGCAAGAGTTCACGTTTCAATAGCAAAATACAATCTGACTGTGAAGCATTGAAAACAAAATCCGTGAACTTTGATGGAAAGCATCGATTCAAAACACGTTAGTTGACGGGCCGATTCGTTGTTGCAATTTTTTCAAACCGAATTAATTTGCTCTTTTTGGAAGAAAATGCAATACATCCATTACACTTCTTTTTGGAACAATTACGCGTCATTTTCCGAACCTTGATAACAACCGATGTCAAGAGATGCTAACTGCTTTCTTTTCACCATGACTGAGCTAATTGCGAAGGTGACGGAGAACACGTCCGCAGATTAGAAGTTTGGACTTGCCTGAAGACAATCAATTTTTCTGACAAATTCACCCACACAGGTCTTCTTGAAAATCTTTTCAATTTCATGATTAAATTTTGAATTTTTGGGTTATTTTGGTAGCTGTTTCGTTTATATAAATGAATTTTTGGACCGGGATGCACGTTTGGAAAGCAAAAAAGAATTATTTTACTCTCTGTTTTCTAGCACAAAATGACGCGTTTAAGATTAATCAACGAACTGAGCTTGAAAACATTAGCGGAAAACGCGTCAGTTGTCGAGCCGAGTTTCGCCACGACTAACCAACGAATGTCGCGTGGCGGTTAGCATGAGTCACCAAGCCTGCCTCACCAGACTGCCCAACCAATCGGATTGTTTGTGGGTCGATCGATCAAGGCAACAACAAACGCCAATGTGAAATGTCCGTTGCTATGACGACAAAGGCTTAGTAGCTCTCGGTGAAGGGAATTGGCGATTTGATCGTGGCAAAGCCGCTGGAATGCGTTTCACAAGTCTACCTCGAGTGTCTTTGTCTTCCAAAGACGAACCACAGCTTGACCACGATGATGACTTGTTCAGTTTGAAATCGTCTTCTACACGCCGAAATAGCTGTCATATAAATTTGATGAATTTGTTTTAATTGCAGTCATTCATCTCCAAGATCCGAAGGAATTGAACTTGGATCAAATAGACTCATCACAAGGTACATTGATGAGAATTGGTCGAACTAGCGTCAACGCAGTTGCGGTGAGAAGCGGGAATGCCCTGAGGCAGATTATGAAAAGTGTGTAAAAATGTGAAATTGTCTTTAAGAAATCCGGTCTGGAATTCTTTACTTAGAACTAATCACGTGCTTTTACGCAGCCAATGGGATTCCCACTTTCAATCAATAGTGAAGCGGCCAATGAGCTACCGCCAGAATTGGTAAATTGCAAAACTTCACAGCTGTTTGGTAAAATGAGATATTAAGAGAGCCCTAAACTTTTAGCATTTCGATTGTAGCAATGCCCTTTAAATGTGCATGATGATAATGACCAGAAAGTGGGCTTGACTCAGTTGTCATAAGTTCTCTATTATTACTTGAATTCGACAGAAATACTACAAAAAGTGTTTTCGCCAAAATGGAAGCAATGTAGCGGACTAGCGCCGATTGTAATTTGAAAATTGCTTGATTTAACACTTAAGCTACCCATCATGCAACTTTACTGGTTTATTTCGCCTCAGGTCAGTGCAACTACCTAAAAACCGCAGATCAACAAACTATCTTGAGAATTTTGAAAAGTCTTCTTGTGTGTTTGATTCGCAAAATTGAAGTCAAATTGAAAAAAAATTTACTAGAATGTTTGCATCGAAGTCATCAAGAGGGCGACGACTTAACGGAATACTTCATTGAGGTCTAAATCCAGAAGGTACGGCGTCAGATAAGTGATTATGATTGATGCGCCTGTAAGAACAAGAACAAATTCGTCAGAGGGTGCGAATTCAATGTCTAAACTGTCAGAGATCCCAACTAATTCCATTTGAATAATCACACGCCTAGTGAATGCACAGGCATCAAGAGTTGTAATTTGTGAACAGTGGTATAATCCTATTTTTTTAATCGTCAGTCGAAAATGGACGATTTTCAGCGAGCATTGACCTTTCCGTGACCTTGGCCCAGGAGGATTGGTCCAGCAGAAACACGAGGTTTCTGGCTTGAACTGCACTACTTATTAAATTAAGTACTATGAAAGGAACGCTCCGATTGGTCCGCCCTAGAGGCACACAACTGACCTGCACGCCGGAAGGAGAGCATAATCTCGAGAGCAGCCGACTTCAAGTCAACGCAGCCGGCGGCAGCTGCCGCCATCAGCATTGCATATTCACCGGAAACATGAAATGCAGCGAGTGGGTGATGTGGTAGCTAAATGCCAGGAAAAGATGTTACCCTTTAATCGGTCTAAGAATTCGCACGAGTGAGGTAGAGTTCGGGTGACCTACCTCATGCCGAATGTTTGCTATGACGTCCAAATAGACCAGGCCGGGTTTAACCATGATGATGTCTGCACCTTCGCTAGCATCACGAATCTATGAAAAGAGGGGCTAGAAGACAGTGTGTTGGCGTAAGCATCAGGCAAAGCGTCATGACTCACCGCTGTTCGGATCGCAAGTCCGGGTGCACCTGGAGGTAGTTGGTAGGACTTCCTGTCGGTGGTTCCATCGCCAGAACCAGCCGCGGCCCTGAAATCCACGAAAGCCACAAATCGCATTAAAATCTGCCAATCAAATCTACCGAAATGCTTCAACCAATAAAATAACGACTTGCTGGAGGTATCGCACAAATTAATACAGTTATACTTAAAGAACGGAAGAGGCAGAAATGCCGCAGTTTAAGTTAGGTTGGTAGGAAGTATGTGAGTTTCTTGGGAGGATTACTTGGTAGGTATTTGAATTCTCTACTTTTTTTACACCATTTTCTAACCATGCCGTAACTTCAAGCAGGTCTGGCTTCCTTAAGTAGACCAAATCAAAAGATTCATTGGGAATTAGTAAATTGGAGCCAAAACAAACCCCTTCATGAGATTAAAGACAATTAGACGCTATGTTTGAATACACAATGGCGTGGCGGATTTAAGTTGGACTCGAATGAGGTCAACTGGCTTTCGCGCGCAGGCTAAAAATGGGGCGATTGGTCAGACGGCAGGGCGTTGGAAGCAGCCACGCATAGCGCACAAAAACATGCTGACATTGACCGACCTACGGCTGCATCTGACACAACGCGAGTTTAAATGCGCCATGTCGGTGATTTACAACTGAAAGAGCTTCTAAGAGCGGCGTATTTAAAACTGCAAATCAAGAAACGGCGTCAGACGAGATGTTGCATTTCAAAACCGCAAAATCTGAAACCACCAATCCACTGCAGCAGATCAGCTGATTGGGTGTAAATTGGTTACTTTGAAAAATTGCGGCGGATTTTACGAATTTGTGTCTGCGCTCACACCTGAATGGGCCGTAGAAACTTGAGGCGAATTTGGCCGCATAGGACATGACGGAGACTTCGCGAGAAAAACCATTCTTCTGAAGAATCTGCTTGATAGCCAGAATACGACCCTCGGACATGTCAGATGGTGCGATTATTTGACCACCTAAAAAAAGGCAAGTCACAACGACGCATTGAAGTGCATGCACCTACATTATTTTACAATGCCTATTGTCAAGAAAAATTTTGTGAAAGCACAAGTGGTGTTCACTGCCGTTGAGGCAAAATGTACAACGCATACTTAAATCGAGATTTGTAAATAGAATATCGAGTACTTACCCGCTTTTGCATAGTTGAGGGAGATTTCGGCTAACCGGCTTATGGTCTTTTCGACGTCCATCGCACCAGATCCATTAGAGATATCTAGTTCGTATGCGGAAAAATTAGACAGAGTTTGAGTAAGATGCTGAAGATTATGAGTGGCTGATGGTCAGTGCTGCCGGTAACAAGGATGGACGCAAAAACTCACAACAATTGTGTGATGGAGTATACGAGCACAAGCAGACGTCACAGGCAAGAATTAGAGACGGCAATTCGGCTTTCAGTAAGGTGAGGGCGCCAATAACAGGACTCTTGGCGGAGTCAGCAAACGAGCCTCTTTCGTCTTTTAATGACTCGTCAACGACGCCGAAAAGGAGCACGCATTTGAGTTTCTTTTCAACTAGCGGCGCCAAATACTTCACGAGGTGCCTTACGCCTAGACGCCGTTGGCCGGGCAATCCTGGAATCTCTTCGTTCGCATCTTCGTTTGAACTACGAAGGAAACAGTTGACATTAATACCATGAGAACTGGAACCAAACGTGAGTTCTTAGAGTGGAAAACCTGACCGTTCAACCTTCCATCATCTTAACCTTAGTGATTGCTTACTCACACACAAATCTCAATATATCCGCTACTAGGCATAGTGTAGCAATATCGTATTATTGCTACAACAGGATGCTAGAGTTCACTCAGTCAAATTCGTTTATACGGTATCAAATACACTTAAGAAAGTGCTATAGCAGCGTTGCATTTCTAGTGAAACCAGTTAAATTACTGCACTAAATTATGAAAACTTAAGTATGGCGGTTAATTTGATGGTAAATAAGGTCAATCTTATCAGAAAAGCAAGGCAATCGAACGTTTATAACCGGAACGGTGGGATGTCGGGAAGGTTTATTCAGCTTTCAATTTATATGAAATAGGAAAAAAATCGACAAATCGCACAAGTATCTGATGGTTACGATAACAATTTAATTCTTAAAGATTGGACATTTACGATTTTTTTGCCATACCTAACGAATATTGGGTAGATGAGATTTTCCTTGGTAAGGGTGCATGAGGCTGATTGCCAGTAGCGTAAAAGAGGGTAGTGGTATCCAGAGTGTAATGAGCAATTCTGGAGAAACATCGCAACAAAAAAACAATTATGGTTTAATTTGTTAAGGTTGCTGAATAGATTACTAGTAAAATCAAAGATATCAAGACAATAAACAAATTACGGCCAATAATCTGAAGGAAAAACACTTGAGATATATAAGATAAATTCATGCATAAATCATCCCAACTAACGGCAAATATAAACAATGGTAATCTCGACGATTGAAATAGTTACTGCATTACATTTCATTAGTGCAAACTTCCAAAATTCAGTAAATACGAGGAAAAAAATTTAACGCACGAAAATGTGTCCAGTTAATCATACCAAAGAAGGCCCAAATTTATCGGGAAGTACATACCAGGAAATAAAGCTTCAAAAGAAGATTTTATTCATAACTAATTGTTTGGGTAATAGATGAATTGTAAAATACAATATCTAACCTGCCACGTCAGCAGGGAATAAAATGCACTAACTAGAAGCTATTATACTCAGATTTTGAAAGTGTTGGAACTACAGACATGCCAACATATTGTAGGTCACGTAAAACTCCAAGTAGTAGCATTAAACACACTTAAGAGAAGATGATTAAAGTGTAATTGACCTAGTTTAATTAATTTAAATCTATTAAGTGCAGTAGGCCAAAACTCAGAAAATTAGGTTTAAATTCCGCTAAAACGAGTATAAACAGAAAAGCAGTACACCTACAGAGCAATTAGACAAATCCACAAGCTCTCTTCATAAAATATAAAAGGTCATTAAGCAAACAATGTTTTAATCGTTACTGTATTTTGACTCACATTCATCGTAAATAAAGCAAGCAATAAGAATTGCAAAAAAAAACACACAGCAATTCACGTTGGTTTAAAAAGTCACACGAGTCCAAGGCTAAAACCCCACAACTTTGTATATTCAAACAAAGCTGCAAAATGATAATTTTTACAATGAGTATCACAATTGCTACAATAATTGTATTTATGCCAAAACTAACTAAAATAGAACCATGACAAAACGATCTTAATAAAAGATAGTTGGGTAAGAAATCTGAAAGAAGTAAAGTGTATTTCACCTAATGCTTTTTCCATTGGTTTCTTTCCTTGGATATTGTATTATATTATTTACCTTAACATCATATTTACTCTTTTTTAGGCAAAAACATTGCCTACATACTCCACGATACAATATTATCATATTTACTATGCACAAGTTTTTCGGCTTCATAGTCATGCAAAACATTGATATGAAGTTAAATGTTGTCGTCACATCAACCGCATTATACGTTTTCTTACTCTTCTGTAATATTTTTTGTCGCTACTTGCTAAAAACGGACCTAGAGGTAGTTTTGTGAAGGAAAATGGCTTTATATTTTAGCAAATAGTTATATTGATTTATTAGCCTTGCATCTTAGGTTTCGCAATTTGAGCTCAACGAACACGCGTGCAGGTATAAATTGTGCCTCTAAACTATCGGCTTCCATTTCTGTGTTGTGAATTCCTAATACTGCTATAAACATTGATTACAACGTGGAAAATTTGAAGAGAATAAAATCATTTTATGATAAGTTGAAGTATTTATCATATCAGTATAAACCTAGCAAAATATAATTTTATCACCATTAGCTTTAGAAAGAAGGTAACGGTGCACCACATGCTTATCTTTGCTTAATATTTTCTAAATTACAAAAAATTTGTCTGCTTTACTCAGCAACTTAATATCTGCACAAAAGTAACATACATTACACAAGTCCCTTGATCAAGTATTTTGGGTATTGGAAATTGAATTTCTGTCAGAATTTTATAGCTTGCAATAAAAAATACAGCCGATTGCAAGTGTTCTATTTCGTATATTCCATAATCTTCTTGAAAAGCGTTTTTACATCTACCAAAACTAAGCACAAAAATTAATTCTCTAGTTTTGTGCACTGGGTTAGATTAAAATCTACTATACAGGATTATTAAATGGAATTATTTGCCTAGTGTAGTACAAAGACAGAGTGAACTTTGGAATGCATTAATTTAGGTGCTTTTAAGTGGACAGTGATAAATTCGTTAATGGAGATAAAAAAATAGCTTACAAAACCTACGAATAATCAAAAAAATGACATCAAAATGTTCTACTAAATTCCAGTCTTCAAGGACCTTACTCTGGTTAGTCACATTTCGGGAATTTCACAATTTTACTGATTTACATTAAAAGTAAATGACCACAATTATATTCATATGAAATAATCAAATAAATCCTTGAAAGCGATCATGGAAATCTTTAAATTTCCGACTAGCTGCTTCACAACTTTAGCAGGTTTCCTTGTGGTAGTTCCGATAAATGAAAAAAAAATGAGGCTAAGTATCACGTTTATCCTCCCTATTGCATTCGAGATGTTCTTAGATTTGTAAAATTTTAGCTTCAAACTGTTTTTAAGTTCTTTTCTTTTCTTTTTTCAACTTCTCCACTTTTGGACCTGCACAATTTTAGCAGTCAATAGTGGTGCAAGTATTTGACACCAAGGGCACAACTGTTTGCATACAAATATGTGCATGGGCTGTTTCTGATAAGCACTTCAAACTGAAGAGTTTTTTAGCCTACACAATGTATCTTCGCGAAATTTTCTGCCCTGGACGAACACATCCTTAGCATAGTCATGACATTTCGACGCGCCCATTGTAATATTTCATAATATTTAAACACCCTACTTGCACATTTTAAGTAGACAAGTTATATTTGTGGTGAAAACGTTCAACAACCTCGACTCGATTATTAATGAAAGCACGTAATGCTTAACCACAAGGCATATTTTAGCTCCAGGACACGGCGATAACTTCTAGGATCTCTTCCGTCTTAGCATTGACATTAGGTAGTAACTAATTTGCTGTGCACCAATCATAGCTCGGCTTTACTTTTAATGCGCCTCATCTATAGTGAGAATTTTGACCTGCGAAGACCCCTAAACTGTGTTTGCATATTACTTGTATAAAGTTGCAAGATTTATCGACTATTTTGGTCTTTGTGGTATTTTTAACATCAACAATTAGGTACAAAACTGGGCCGTATTCATAAACACCGCGATTGTATACACAAACCACGGCCAAACAGGTAAAAAATTTGGCTCTTGGTATCTTTGTTTATAAAAAACGTCTCATTTTGTCAGTCGAGTTCAACAAGAGCGTGAATTCCGCTCCAAAGTTTCATACACTCTAGAAAACGATACAGCTTGGCACGATAGAAGCCGTATTGTGTGGTTCACATTTGCGCTTAAACTCGGCAATAAATGACGCATTAATTGGCCACATGCGGCCACTACAACGGCCCGTTTCCTTGGTAATGTGAGTCAATACATATGTGTGCACATGCAGTGTATATCTGAGACATTAAACCGTTTAGCAAGAATGGCCTTAAAGGTGGTGGTCATTCAAAGTTGTTCACTTAGCAATGGCTCGAAGTTTTGAAAAGGGCGCGAAAAATCACAGCAACAAACCACAGCCCCGTTTGTTTAAATTAAGTAGGCGTGGAATTCAATATCCTCAACTCACTGCGACAATTGTCCAGTAAACTCAGGCCACTGACACTAGCGTTCACGCACTCAACCCGTAAATATGTACAAATTAATTCAGTCAACGACAACCGATTCGGCTCTTAGTGGATATCCACGAGCAGATCCGAGTCCCACCTCAAGCATCACCCAAATCCGCGTGAAAAACCACACCAACATTCACAATAAAACACACACACAAACATAACACCAAGATTTAATATATATGCGTATGAAATGAGAACCAAGTGATAAAGAATTTAACGAAAGTGCATCGATAGTACTCAGAAGTGTTAAGTCCATGGAAATGTGTTTGTTTTTTAAATGACGTAAAAGGTGAAAGTATTAGACGAGGATGCTGACATTGAGATGACACGCCGCAACCACCCTCCTAGCACTTGACAATCGTCATAATCGGGAGGGTGTGGGTGGGCTCGTTAGGCATCGCGCCTCCGAGCACCTTGTCGTGGACGCGACAGCCGGACGGTACTAAAAACAGGCATAGGATGCGATGAGGCGGTGACACCAGTGTTGATTTGTGGCTGACTGATCTGGCATCATTGGTAATCGGTTAAAGGTGACAGTCGACATCCACTGTCGCCTGTCTTGCTTCTGCTAACTAGCAGGGTGCAGGGCGGTACAAGCAAACCACCATATTTGGTGTCACCGCATACACCGACAGACGCACCTCATTTCACAGCATCCCTCACCAATCGTGTGGACGCCTTTTTGGACACACTGCCTCCAGCAAATCACAAGTGTCAATCAGAAAGCTTCATCATTAGTCATGCCCATGCCTCGGATGCTTAACTAGCGATTAATACCGAAGTCTGATTGGTTAGCCGGAATGGCAGCCAAAAGAAGACGACGCATATCAATTTGCATAGTTAAGCCCACGTAAGTCTCGATCTAATTTCCGGCCTCTACACGAGAATGCCTTTGGCGTCAAGACGCGGGGAAATACTCATTCCAAGTCACCAACGCGAAATCAAGGCATTGAGTTTAACCCCAACGATGAATCATTTCTTTGTACAAATTCTCGCCTTCCAAGTAGCCGCTCATTGGTTCGCACACTCCCCTTCACCCGCTCGATTCGCACATCCACACAAAACATCGTCTGCAGGTGGCTGAGAGGTGGTTGTTGTGCGCCGAGGCCACCTGCCGATGCAGGTGTTACCAGCGGGAGGCTAACTAACTGGCACTAGGTAAGAAAAGACAGCACAGCAGACGCCCACACGCACTTTGGGGGGGGGGCGTAATTTACTACTGCTGACAAGAATTTGGAGAAACTGGATTGGAGAAGTTGGGAATTGGAAAGCAATTTGAGATACAACTCAACACCACTGCGGCGGGGTGAATCGCGCGCCTTTCAAATCGCGGGTGCTTCAGATTCGATTTACCAACGTTGATGAACTCAGACAGAAAGCACAGGCATGGTTGAATTAGGCGATTGACCTTTTGGAGTCGAGTCAAGGTTATGCCGAAATCCCGAAAAGGTCGATTTTGTTCTGAAGGTCAACTATGATGGCAGGAGGCTCTAGTGTACCACCGACAACACCGACAATGGCTTGAAGTAATTGCACAACGTGTGCACACATCCCCTCACTATGTTGAGAAACTAGGAAAACTAGGGTTTTAGACATGAGGTGAAAAAAAGTAAAGAATAGTTTCAAACGAAACGCAATACGCGTTTTAAAGCCACTTCGATACCCTCTCCTTGTCCAAAACAACAAGTAATAAGCAAGGGGGGAGGGGGAACAGACGGACGTACTTTTGATTGGCGGTTCCAAATTGTGCAGGTCGGTGGCGGCGCGTCGGCTGCGTAAGAGCTCACCTGGCCAATGGAAAAAAATCAAAGTGGCGGAGGGTAATCACCGTCGGAGGGATTTTGCTGTGACACCCTGGCTGCCCACAACGAGAAATCTCTCTCGCGTGACAACCTCACGCAGTGGCGGCTTTCATTGGTCAGAAATTCAACCATCACGGGAATGTGCTCATCGTGATAGCCCACTAATTTGGGTATCTAATCGCTTTATGGACGCCTAGCTCCACAGTCAGAAGTAACTGAACCATTTTGAGAAAAGTACTTGTCTGCTACACTCTGGATCCCTTGCTTAGACAAAATCATCCACGCTGAGTACGCGATGGGAGCAAAATACCTCAGAATACGCTGAAACATCTGAAATATCATGCGGACACATACAAATCCCTCTGGTACGTCTGTGGCGTGTGCGCGACTGCGCGTTGCTCAAATACGGTTGTGCCTCCGTCGTCACACACGCACTGAAGTGGCGGCTTTGTGGGTTTGGCAATTCAAAAACCGTGGAACGCACAGTTGAAAGCAGAAGCGATGCTTACCGTCGTCTTCAGGAAGCCAGGCGTTGCTGTCGTCGAGGCTGCTGTCGACCAAGTCGAAGGAATCGTCTGTAATTCAAGCAAAAAGCACAAAAGTCGGTTGATGCCAAACCATCCACTCGAGTTGTAATCTCCGTCGTTTTAGACAACTGTATCGCTGCGTTTTGCAAGTGCTGGAATTCGTTTCCTGCAAACATTACCCCTTTAAACAATTTTGCTGAGAACAAGTCATACCACATTATCCCTATTTACGACCTGATCTATGAGGGATTCGTTTTGCTGACGGGAGGGGAGGAACTGCAGTGAAGACACGGTTCCGTTTTGTTTCGTTTAATCAAAAGGTTTGGAGGTGGCATAAACTAAAGTCAGCATTCTGGAATTGGCCAAAACCCTTTGTAATTGTCCCAGGATCAAAAGTACGATCCAACTAAACGTTTCGGGTCGTTGCTGCTGTTGCAGGTGCAAACTGCATTGTGAACATTAATCCTGCACACAAATTGCCAACACGGACTCATGACACATCTACATTACTGTGATCTAATAACATAATTGTGAAAATAACATGAGCACGTGTTTCGGCTTGCTACGAAAACCGAGGCACAAGCATCTACAACCACCCAATGGGTGTGAGGAGGGCTAAAATTAGACCTAGCAAGGAACCAATTGGATTTGTGCGATTGACGCATGGATCCGACTGCCCTACGGTACGGATATCCGTTCACGAAATAGGACCGCTAGACTCTACACACGACGCTGAACTCCAACAAGTGAAAAATAATCAATCTTAGCGTTCCATTGGTTTCTCCAACCTGACCCGGCTTCCGATTTGGAGATAGAGCAAAAGCCTGTTTGAATGGAATACCAGAAATGATGAGAAAGACTAAGGGAAATGAATTAAGTGAGACGGCAACCCCTTCCCTTCCCCGTTCCCCGAGGAACATCGGGTCCACTTACCGATGTCATCGTCGTTGTCGTCGTCGTCGGGGAGTCGGACGACATTGGCGTCGTTGGCGCCAGCTCTGCCCTCGTCGTCGAGCGACAGTGGCGCAGCGCGGTTGCCCTTCAACAAGTCGGTCGGTGGGTCCGCTTTCGGGGGACATCGGCAGACCTGGCGGGGCAGACCGACGCCGTCGCGGCTCACGTCGCGCGGGCACTCCTTGGGACACTCGACGGGCAGCGAAACCGCCTCGGCGCCCTAAGTGGGGGTGATGGAATGTGCTCAAGCGGGCCAGAGGTCAGGAAAAATCACGAGTAGGGGAATTCACTCATCGAAAATAGGGCGTGATTAGGGCAAAAACAGGAGATTTTAGGCACAGACTATGAAAAATTATCCCGTCATGTCCACACTCATGACCAGTTAAGTTCTCAATCTTCTCGAGGTATCTGCGTATCGAGTAAGAGAACACAAAAACGGTTGATTCCGAGGATAAATGGCTACAACTTGCCGTGGGTGGTTGGTTATCTGGGACACAAATTTTACACACTGTCACAATCTACAGGGATATACACACGTAATTCATCACACGGAAAGTGATTCCACGCGTCAACTCAAACGTGAATCCCCTGTGTGGTGGCTCCGGGTGTGGTTTTGGTCTAGAATTAAAGCTGTGAAGAGGCGTATTGACAACAACTGAGGTAGAAATTTGGGTTTCATTGAAGTTTTTGAGATACAAGCCAGAAAGCATCGGAACACACAGATAAGGGAGTCACGAAAACTGAAATCTACGCCAACACGGGCTGAAAGACGCTGATGTGTGACCCCGCCGAACCGCGAAGCTGGCATGCGTGGTGCGACATGGGTTCGTTTAGGCGATCGATAACCCCCTTAACTTGACCTCCAATCTAACCAATCAGTTGCTGAGGTGGGGGTATGGCGACGGTTTACGCATACCCGGGCTTGGTGATTGTTTATTTACTGATTCTCTGCTACATCCGAGCCTGAAGGTACGCCCACACACCCAGACCCCATTAGCAATGACACCCAGGTATTCGAGTCAGTGAATAATCACGTGCAAGCACGATCAACGACAATGCTTTGGAGTAGTCCTATAACCAATCAAGTCTCAACTGTCGCCAGTACTTTACTTGTGCATTGTTGACAGGCTAGAACAAGATGTTGGCCACGTTGAAGAGTTCGGAGGAGGATGTGGCATCAACATGGCTGTGTTCATAGCCGATGACTAATTCAAATCAGCCCGTTAGACGCCGAGGTGTGCGAGAGGGCGAGAGAGAGAGAGCCAGCGCAGCACGGCAATTGGTTGGCTAATTAAAACACTCGAAAAAGGACACGAGAATTGACAGGCGCGGAGGACATTAAGCGGGTTTATCGCCTCCCACATCCAGCTGGGATTTTAAAATAGTCATCGCGGCAAATAACTTGACGAGGAGGCGCGTAATTTGTGTCTAGTGAATCCGGAATTCCACAAACGATGGTAGTGGGCTGATATGGGTGTAGCTAGACTGAAAGTGCTTGGTGCCCGCGCCAAACCTACCGGATCCAGTTGCATTGAAGCCTCGGAGAGGAGCATCTCGACTAGGGAGATGATGGGCACGTCGGAGCAGTTTGCGGCGGCGGCTGGGTGGGTTATTCGCACGCTCGACCCAAGCCCCGGCCTCATCATGAAGACACGCAGACCGAAGGGCGACTTGAACTTCATGTCGGTGGTTTCCTTTAAAAAAAAACAAAAAAGCGACTGACTAGGGAGAAATCGTCAAGTAAGACACGGTCAATGAGGTCAAGGTGGTTTGCGGTAGAGGGAAACCAACCGTCAGCAGGCAGTTAAGGGGGTCAAGTGCACAAGTCAAGCGAGACAGCTGGTCCTACCCGCACTTAGGCACCCGTCACAGCCACCACCTGCCTGGTGTCACTGTCGTGTTTTGACTTGAGGCAAATTTCTTTCCTCCCGAATAAAACAATTTCGGAAACTTTCACCCAGCTGGAGAGGATGAGGCAAGTTCCGGTCACTCTGGTATTTTTAAATTAATCAGAAAGTCCACACAAACAATACCGCGCCTCCGTGCACAGGCTTAAACGACAAAATCCTAGCCAAAATACCTAACGAATTGAAAGTGTCCAAAGCAAAGTTGGTCCGAGCACAAGTAAGAACGTCTTGACAATTAACTTTGAGGAAATTTTGACAATATTTTGCTAAATATAGTCTGAAATGCTCGCGGGCTTCACACTTATTTCTGTCCACGTTGGCATCGAATCGACGGCATTAAGATCTTGAAGACGACCCTCATAATTTGGAAGAAATCAATTTCAACTAAGCGACACAGTCGGATTAAAATGCAACACCCAGAAGAACCAAATGCACACAAATTCAAACAAAAGTAGCGTGTCCGTTTCACTGATTTATGTGAGCAACATGATTGAAAACAGTTAAGGGCTTATAATAGACAAAAATTCAAAGGGAATCGGTGGTAGCCACATACTATTTTACCATCAAACACAACTACGAAGTACAATCGGACCCATTTGATGATCAGACAAAGCTACAAGCTTTAAAAAACCCCAAAATTGGGATTGCGATTGTCATATAAACTAAACAAGAGCTGTGTTTACGTTTTACGGGTGTATCAAAAACCAAAGGACAGAGGTTTACTGGTCCGAATTGGAACAATTTACTAGGCATAGATTTTGGTAAGGATTACTTCAATACAAACCAATGAAAAGGGTTTAAACGAACCTTCATGCGTTCTACAACCCCATCGTCTACGGGAATAGCCTCGACGACTTCGCGGTTAAGGGGGTAAGCATAGCACGTGCCATTCGTACGTATCACTGTCATGAAGTCGTTTAGCAAATGGAAAATCGATGCCGACGGGAACCCTGCTACGGGTCCATGTGTAATGGTGACGGCACTGGGTTCATACACATAGCGTTCTTCCACTTCGAAGCCTGGGTACGACGTCAATGCGCGACAGAAACCGGTGGCGCCACCACGGTAATGCTGTCGGTACCATGGCCAGGCATTCGAGTGGCGCAGAGCGAAGATAATGAGAATGCAGCCAGCTATCGTTGTCAGGATGACGGAGATGAGTGTTATACGAAGGATGAAATTACGCGGCCAACAAAAGCTTCCAGCAGGACGATTGGACGCCCTAAGTAAGTCGCCGCCCACACGGGGTCGAAGAATAAGTGGATCAGCTGGGTACTTGAGCTAAAATTTGGATGATCATGGCATGCTTGAAACTCTGCTTTTATTATGTAAACATAACCACAAGCTTTAAAAACCGAGTACTTACAACTCTTCGAAAATTGAGATTGATAAACAGGATAAGCCTGATAATAATAACAGGGCGATTCACAAACAAGGATGATTAAAAATGACTCGAATGATGACTTAAGCGAACGTCATTTTTTACATAATGGATAAAAACTGTCCAAGGATATGTCTGGCGTTTAAGGCCCCATGCCTGGTCAAAATTTGACGTGAATATTGTGCTTCCAAGTGGATAGAACCACATCAAAACCAGTGGAATGGAGTTCGACACTAGAATTGTGATCCCGAAATGACTGGCATTTCTATACTTAATTAGACGTATTAAATAGTGTTTGGACCATGGGCAATTAGCTGGTCAACGGTTGACACGTCGCCTAATTTTAACCACTGTGTATTACATGGACATTAAGCTAGTACCAAAATCAAAGTACACAACGATGACCACAATTTGTTTCAGTCTTAAAACAATAGTATGCATTTTTAATTTGATCACATTTAAAGTAAAGAATTTTGCAGAAAAGCAACTTGGAAGATTATAACGAAAATTCCCCTATGATAGAAGACCAGCTTTGTGCTTAAACGGTCTTCGCTATTACAATTAGATGCTACAAAACTAGGAGTGATGCACATACCCCAGCCTCCACGAGTTTTTCCGCGTCAGACATGAAAGAGAACTAAAAAAATTAGCGTCAACTGAGATAATGGGACCTTGGAAATTCAAATTGCCTCCAATAATGAAAATGGCCCTACAAGGCACTTAAAGAACTCAGTATATTAATATAAGTAAATTAACCATTTGAATTTGGTAATTTCTTTCAAAATGCAGCAGATTTTGCCCGGTTACAAGATACCCGGTCTCTACATGCAGTGATGATTATTGTTTCTTCCCAAATAATTTTTCCCTAGACCTTATTATTCTCACAAACAACGAAATAATAGAAGATATTTTGCCTTGTGTTCAGGTATAAAATGCCTAAAAACAATAAAACTAGGTAAGTTTACCTCCCATTTTAAAAAAAAATTTAGTTTTGGAGGGATCTAAGATAAACACTCTCTGCGATTACTCATATTTAGCAAACTCACTGAAGTAAGATGCCATTTAGCAAAATGCATGTGATTTTACTGATAAATACCTGATTTTTATTAAAAAAGAAGCTTAATATATACATATAAAACATTTAAGAGTGCATCTTTTCCTTTTAATGGAACTCCACTCCAAAACGCTAAAAATTGTCTGTAGCTCTGAATTAAGGAAATTTGACCCTGTAGTGGGATTCGCAGCTGCGTCACTTCCATAATATGACTTTGAACAGTCTTGAATAAATAGTGTAGTGTGTAGTGAGTCTATTTAGAGAATGACAAATTAAACCATGGGAACTTTAATTCACATCAGAATTAAATTATGACAATTAAAATAACTGTTGTGGTAATTCGCAGTTATTATGTGAATACGGTGTAGGCGTATTGCATAACTGACACCCTTAGTCTGAACCGACCTATTGAATATTTTTGGGTTAGGAGCTTAATTTATCCACACAAGTTTACGCTTGCATTACATTTATTCAATTTTGAACTGACGTGTAGATAACCTTGTTATAATATATTTTAAACAAAACAATATTGTTCGATGGTGCTGTTAAAATGATATCAATTCAAGATTTCCCGCCATAATCGCACACGGCCCTTTGGCACAAAGTTTAAATTTTAACTTTCTAATACTTGCTTTATAAGCGAACTGACATCCTACTAATCACGTCAGAATTTGCTACTGACTTTTGTTAATCGCATTCATTCTAAGCGCACGGCCCTGAAAAGTTCTAATTCTTACAATCATTGGATTACGTTCACTCTACTTTCTGACTTATTTAGCATTAACTCTATGTTGACCAGTAAATATTTTCACTGACATTTCTATACAGGATCTAAATAAATGATTTAGCAAAAATTTTATAGTCTATTGACTTTGACTCAACCCCATTTACTCATAATTCAGAAACTCAGGTTATTAACGAAACTCTTATGGTCTATCATTCTCATATTAATAAGGCTTTTTACAGCTAGTACGATGATATTTTATTTTAAAAAGTTACACTTTATTTTAATATGACTTAAAAGTATTGAAGCCGAAGGTTTTTGGAGCCAAAAGATGGAGAAAGAAAACCGAAACATGAAAGAAAACCCAAACCTTATCAAAAGAATTTTCTGTAACAACTTTTTTAGCAAAACAAAATCTCTTTTAACTAAACCATTAGTTAATCGCTGTGCCTCGGCAGAACAAAGGCCTATACGATAGATACTTGACCAGATAAACTGGAACTTTTGACAATTTTGAGAGAATCAGAACAGAGAACTCCCTTCCAGATCGCGTGCATCGCCTTTCTAGAATGGCAGACACACACATGCTCTTTTCTGCTTGCCAAAAACACACTTCAGCCGGAGAAACCGCCTGCTTCGAAGTGGGATGCACTTTTAAATCTGCCGCACTCTCGACTAAAATGTGATTCACTGGCTTATTTTGGGTGTTCAGCGCAACGGAAAAACCCCACTCTGGATGCTAGGAAGGCAGTTTCTCCAAGACTCTGAGTAATGAGGACAGTCAATAACATCTTTTGGCGCCATATCTACTTATTGGAAGCTCTAATTTGTTCGAATGTGACAATTTTCGCCAATTGGCCGGAAAATCTCGGCAATTAATCACCACTTTTCTTCCATAAATCGATTATTTCTTTAAATGTGATGGGCATTGGAATCGATGTCAAGTATCGGATTTTCGAGCGCAATTTTGGGTAGGGGCCACAAGACAGAGAAGAACAGTCTAAGTCCGACTTGGTGGCTCTGGATAGGTCCACACCAGCCACTCTTGTCTCTGGTTGGCCGCTTATCTTCTTCACTGGTCTTTTAAAACAAACACTGTTGACGCTGCCAGGGAAACATAAAGTGCTACCAAAATCAAATTTGAAAACTAAAATCAGTTTCAATACACATAATCCAAAACAGAAAACATTCATTCCAAATTACATCGCCCAGGTTTGCTACAAATCGGTATTTTTTTTTTCATTCAAAACGCCCAACCCGTGCTTATCCAAGAGCACGTTTAAACTATTTAAACTTGAAGCAAACTCTCAACCTGTCTTGGTGATTTGAGGCAGTTTTGTGACCGTATTTTGGCAAATTCTTCTTAATAAAGACATTCACTACTGTACAAACACCACGTTGTAAATTTGGCTTGCTAATTTGAATTGGATTTCCTGTGTTACATTCACATCTTATTTCCTACCAAAAGACATCAATTACTCAGCCAGTCAACTACAGTATTTTGGAACTTACTATTAGGCTTAGGTACTTCTTTTAGTGGCAATTTGTTGCTTCATAGACAATCTGCCACTACAATTTCACCGAGGTTCAAAATGCTGCAAAAGCCTTCAATTTAAATCGTAATTACGGAGGATTCAGATCGCCTTTCCAACTGGTCGAACAGACAGACAGTCGCTTCGACAGAACCTCCATACCGCGCATTCTGTCCATGGTTCTGCATCGACGTGGACGTCACCTAGGCGCGAGAAAGTTCCCCCACATGAAGAGACAACTACGACGGAAGACAAACGGCGAAGCCTTGCACCAACGGTGCCAACAAAATCAATAATTGGTGGCGGGGTCCAGTTGATCTCACGAGGTCTTGAGTGTTTCGCAGCCTCGTATTTTAAATTCAAGCCGCTTTTTTTTTAAAACAAACGTATTATGAAGGAATGCAAAGTTGTCTCTTAATTTCTGTCAGCTAATGGATACCAGATAAAAATTTTGACTGTGCGGCTAACGCGAAAGCCCTACATTATCACACATATTTTTTAATTGACACTGGTTGGTGTCTTCTGTTAACCGTGAATGTAAAGGAGGTGTGTGACTTAGCAGCAGTGTAATTTTGCGCACAAGGAAAGTCGTAACACGAAACCCTTGCATCATAGGTGGAAACCTGCTAACATGAAGTCTACTCGAGAACTAGCAGTGAAGTACAAAATTGCGGAAATTAAATCAGATGACGTAGTCACCGAAAATCGATTGTATTTGCTTAAATCAAATCTGTCCCTTCATTATTGGTTTGTGATCCCTTGCTTAAACTCGGTGGATATTCTGAAGTTTTAAAAGTATCAAGATTTCTGCAAACGAAGGCAATTATGGTTCTCCTTTGACACGAAAATCGATTTGAACATTACCTGTCGCTTTTTTCCAGTACCATTTAATAAATGTTATTTTTAACCCCCTGTGGAAACAAATGAAGCGTAATATTGTTTTCAAGTGTTAGGCAATGGCCATTTGCAACGTTGAACACAAAAAGAAACATGTTAAACGTTTTTCGACTTATTCATCTCCATAAAACAAGCCAGCCATTGAGACATGCGGGGCGAAAGTGGCTGTTAGATGTATCACAGACCTGAATTTTAGAATCATTTTTGAAGGTGTGGACTAGTTAGAAGGCTCGATATTTGAGAAAAAACTTCAACTCAACAAGGACGCCAAATTGAAGAAGCGCACCACCACTTGTAATGTAAATCGCGTCAATCAAAAGCGACTATGGTGCAAGTGCGATGAAGCAACACATGCCAATTCGAAGGCTGTCGAATGAATTGAGATTTTGTGTTGCTTTTAAGCAACCAAACCACCAAATTAGATGTTTGTTGTCAACAAGCAATAAGAATGGATTAGGAGACAATCAGAACCAACAAATCACAAAACTATCGCATTTCCACGAAGGCAATGCAGGTCCGATCTTGTACAGAAATTGCATGAGCTTGTTTCGGAAGCGATGTCGAATCCCAACGTAGCAATGACCTTGAACCATTAAAAAATCACATGATTGGTTAGTCTCTACTACTGATAATGACCCGAAATCTAGCTTGATTTTAGCATTTCTTCGAGCTTCGAGACGTTCAAGAAGTTGTTGAACAAAAATAAATGGTCCGTTTTTGGAGTGGATAATGGAATTTTCCTTATATCTCACAACTGAAGTTTGTTGTTAATTTTTTATTTACGGTAGTTAATTTAAACAACAAACCTTGAAATCGATCTGACAAATTGATATTTCTAATTAGTTGATATAACCTCTGGTACACCCAACTCCCTCTTTTTGTGATCATCTCAACGACTTTGATGTGACTTTACAAATTGCCCCCACGGAAGATTAGGTATTTTATTTGTCTGATCAACGCCAATGTGCCCTGGGATATAATGAAGGCCATTTCGTGCAATTAAGCATCTGGTTGGTTAATTTTTCATATAATTAACTATTTTAAGCCCATAAAAACATTTGCAGCTAACAGAAAGTTATGCGTAGACGTGGAATTTCGTTCCTGCCTCGAATTTCACACTATCACCTGCCAATTTTAACAAAAATGCGGATTTTCGCAGTTTGTTTTGTGTCTGTGTCGAGACACATGACAGACGTCTGTTCGACCTGGGGCGTCTGATGTTGCTGTTCAGTGTCAAAACAATTTTACTGACTTATAATGTTTTTACAGTCCTGCGGCAGTAGCTCATAATGGGAGTAATTACTATGAACTACAGGAGAATTGGCCCGTTAGTAGTTGCCATTCTGCAACATTAAATGTTTCAAAGACATTGTGATAACATTTCAACTGACGTCTTAAAACGACGGATTATTTCAGTATAAACGTTTAACTGAAACATCAAAACGAAAGATTTGTGCCCTCGGGTTTGTGAGATTGATTTCAGATAATGCGTTGGCTCGTGAAAAATGCCTTAAACGCACTTACGCGTCTGGGTCGACTTGCTGAATCTGGATCGCCACACGGCACTGATCAAGGTCATTTGGATGCAATCGATTAGTTGTAGTAGTAGTAATACACTTCTGTCTGCAGCGATCACACTTGGCACAGCTAAGTAGCATTTACGATACGCCTTACAAGTGTAATAAAACAAAGATTATATTTGAGGTAAAAAATGATAAGTCCGTGTTAACATCATTTGCAAATGATCAAGTTGTAAGTTTTGAGCAATTGAAAAGACTTCCAGGTGTTTGGTTTCGCCAACCAATGAAATTGGTTTGCTGGGAAGGTATCCAGGCCACGAGAACGCAAATTTTTAAGTGACAAACTTATTGGAGCTAGTTCTTTAACTATGAGTCAGTTCCCAAGCAGGGAGCTTAAATTGTTTTGCCAAATTTTGATCAGGTTCTTTTGAGCTTTAGTTGACACCGATCAAGGTCATTTGAAGGTCATCTGTTTGATGTTAATCCAAACACACCTCTATCTTTAGCATTTCCACAAGGATATGCGTTAAAATAACTGGCTCTTTTATGATCCCCATATGTTTTGCGGATATTCTATTTAAAATAAATTAGTTTTTCACTTAGCCAAGAAAAATACGGAACCGCAAACAGAGACATGAAGTACAAGCAGACCATTACAAATCACTATGGTAACCACGTGTGGTATCGCCTGAACGTCACTTTTCCCTCAAATTTCGAAAGTTTTTAGGTACATCAGTGACCACAAATCGCTGTGTTTTCCAACAACATTCTTATAACTTGAAGTATCATAGTACCTTTAATTAATCTGACTCCATTTGATCGAGTTAAAGTGCGCAGTGAATAGAAAGTACGTAAAGAACCGTCCGTTGATCATTTTTGCAGTAAATCCAGGCACCTTGGCTCGAGTTTTTGAAAGGAAACCAAACGACACAAGAATGTTATTCTCACAAATCACATTTTCAGTTAATAACTCTGGATTGCACATCGTGAGATACTTTTACCCCTGGTGGGTGCGTAAACGGTTGCCAATTTGTGGGACCCTCTTAGCGTTCTAGAGCATCAACGAACAGCAGGATTTGAATGCAGCTGCTTCCAAGAACAGACTCGATGAATCTCGCTAACCGCGTCACCACTCAAGTGACGCTTTTGTCGAAAGTTCACTGCCCACGCCGATCCAGTCATCGACGCTTCACTGGTGCACACCGCGCTCACATGGCAGCCCAGTCATTGGCTTGTGGTGTGAGTTAGCACACACCACGCTCATTCAGGGATGCAGGCTCTATTATACTCCCTACAGCTCACCAAGAGCATCCATTTCTCACACACCCCCGACTACTAGAGGATCACTTTTTAGACACAAAGAATTAATTACGTGTGGCTAAGGCCTTTTCATCCAAAGAGAACACATCACAAATTAACGGGACTTAATCAACTGTTAACCAGTGCTGAAGATGTCTGGAGGTAAGTACGTCTTCCCTTATATCTCGATATTCAAAAAAGTGATTTCAAATGTCGTAAATTGAGCTGTTTGAATATCCGCAGAAAAGTAGGCTCTTTTTACTTTTACTCTGCTCGAAACTCAATAGAAAATCGAGTGATTTGGACATTTAAGAATGTTCTGGAAGGTGGTTGTTGGATTATGTCGGGGAAATTGATCAACCTTATAGCTTTAGGATTAGCCTTGTGATGAAAGGTTGCCACGAGAAGTTGTTTATCTCTGAAATTGCTTAACCGTTGTGTCTCAGTTAAAGTTAGTTTGCTTGTTAAGCCATTATCTCAATAAGTAGTTGGGTTGACTAATTTGAACACGGAAACTACGAAGCGTTAGCGACAAGTGATCGGGATTATAAAACACTTTTTTCCAGGCCTTGATCATGGCGATCTGCTTAGGTTAGTCTGTATATTGTACCCCCGGTAGGGAAGCTGTCAAAATGCAAATTCTGCACACACATTTTTGTTGTATTTGATAGGCTAATTTTTTTTGACACAAAAGTGCTTCTAAAAAGTACACGCTGTTCGTAATCTTTCATGTCTCCATTTGCCTCTGTCTGACGTGAATGAAAAAATGGTTATTTTGATGAACTGAGGAGTCATAAATGCTTAAAGGAGGAAATTCAAATAATCTTGGCGCAGGTGAAATGATAATCATTGCGTTTTACCGTCAAAAAACCCTAAAATGTTTTTTTTTCAGAATTTATTTTTGTAAAATTTCTAAAAAAAACTTTTAATTGCGCTAAGATTTGCCTTAGCCTGATCCCTAACTTGTGCAGTGCATCAGTAGTTTGAGTACTGTGATGGATTATCCACTAGTTCCGCATATCGATTTTCGTAACGGGGTATTTTCAGCCATTGCCAATGTTCCCTCTCCAATTCAAATCCTGCTGAGGCAAGCAATGTGTAATCTATAAATTATTCTATTGATAAACACAGCCTTTTGATAGCAAAATCACCCTGGTGATTACCTGAAGAACTCGTCAGAATTTCTGTTCTTTAAAAATGTTTTTTTTACATCACAAATTATGTGTGCCACCATCTGATTCTCTGGAAGCCCCAAGTTTATTACCCTTAGCCAATCAGATTCGAGTTGTTATTAAAAGCCAGAAATACCTAGACAGGGAGTTGCAGTCTTGAGTTTTTAGGTTTAACATGCCACAAATCGTCTCTGCTTCCGTCATTTCAATAATGGCGTCTTCTCTTGTGCATTTTAGGGCTTGCAACCATCAGCCACGAAATCGATGACTATGCGGTGAGTTGCTCAAGTGCGATCTCATCCTTGCACATTACCGGAAACAGCCAAGTCACTTTGATGGCCCGATTTAGCCTCTGGGTTATTCGTACCACTGACTCGACTTTGTCTAAAGCACTTGTCAAGCTCAGATGGCTGGGGTCGCGTTACATGACTCCTTTGAGTGCAGTCAATCCACGTCGGGTTTGTGTGATCAAAAAATTTCTCAGCAGTGTTAATGCGTGTGCGCTGTGCCAACTACGGTGCAGGATTGTGATTCTTCAAGTGACTTACTCATTAACCCACTTATGCATGAACAGTTCTGCTTGCATGAGTCTCACCAGTAATTAATTGGAAAGAAAACCACATAGTATGGATGGGTGGATGGATGATTTCGGTGTTTCAATTTGTCACTTAGAAGTAATCATTGTTGTCTCCACACAAACCAACACCAATCTTGTTGAATTCGGCGGTTTTTGAAACGGCAGTCGGAGCTTGGCTAAGTGGCGAAGCTGTCGTGCTTTGACGCACTCGAAAACGCTCGTGAATGCTCCTTTCGGTAAAGGGCATGTGGTCGCAATGGGTGTGTCAAAAGTGGAGCAGTTGTGGTAAATTTACGAAGGGGATTCAAAAAGAAGGAAAGTCTTCCTTAGACAAGGTTGCCGGGACCAACCAGGCGAGATTTGACGCCGAAGAACCGAGTGACATCAAAATCCGACACGACTTCTGTGTCTTGTGGAGAGAAGCGTAGAAGACTGAAAAAAAGAAGTCGTTTATCCACTCGTATTCAAGAGAAACGTACAGGGCAGTGCGCCGCAGGATCGGGAAACCAGCACTGACGTAACAAAGTCAAACGCCAAATAACTGAGCTCCGATTATCAACAGGAGTGGACGGTGATTGGTTGTCGTTGTCCCATCCACAGCCCCCTCTCTCTGTTTTATCAATTTTTTTTTGGCTTAAACCAAGTCCTTGATAAGATGCTGACGGCACACGATTAGAGCTAATTGAGCACGCACCTGTGACAAGGCGTTCCCGCCAAAGTCGTGCTTCGTGTCAATCAGAGCAGGTGTTTAGACTAGGCGTGTGTGTGTGTGTGTGGATCAAATGAGTCAAGATGACGTCAGAAGCAGAAACGTGGCTTACTTGCTCAAGTACTCTGCCGTAACCCTTCAAGTACTTTTGAAACAGAAAATATTCCACATGTCAGGCAACAGCAAAATAGTAACAATGGCGACACATTGGAAGAACTTGTTGAAAGATGACTGAGCCTTAAGACCGTCAGGTTTCAAAACTCAGGTGTGGAGTCGAACCCATGTCCGGGGAATCGATTTTTTGAGGTCTCGGTGCGATTAGCAGACACCACAAGGGGTGTAGACAACCCAGCAAAGGTGTCTGAGCTGGCCTCTGTGCTCGAATGCGCACTTTTGTACCTCGTACTTGTGTTCACTAAATGCCCTCCTTTCTTTGCGCAAGTATGCACACAAGTGTCACATCTGAAAATGACAAGTTCTATCATGCCTTTAGCAAGTCGCCAGTGACCTCCGCGTTGGAGTCAATCACATGGCTCTTGACGAAGAGCGAATTCGCCAGGAACGCTTCTTCGAAGGCATTCTTGAGCTTCAAAAGCGGATAATGCAGGTCAGATTTCCGCACAATCCGTCGTTTTAACCTGGTATCTGGATTTGGGGTCGATTTCGCACAAAGAACCCATTATTTTAGTGTTTAGGTTATCGATATATCCTTGAAAATCGCTACGTTATCACCTGTTTGTCTCCCAGATTGTCAATTAGGTTAACTAGTGCATTTTAAGTAAATTCACCAATCGCACAATAGACTAGCTGAACGTTAGTGATGTAATCTAATCATTAATGTAATCTTCGTCAAAAATATCACTGTTTCTGCAATACAAAACCCTAGGTTCGGAACGAAAACTCAAAGAAATCTTTGGCTAGAAATCGGAAAAGATGGGAATTCGAAGAAGAATTTTAATCTCAGCTTTTGCCATATTTATTATTTGTTTTGTAAAGGGACACCATTATTCTGATGATGATACTTCTCCTCTACCACTTTTTGAGTTCGTCATATTTGTTGAACGAAGAGGTGTACTTTGACTGGCTGGCCTCAGTCCCACCAATGAAAATGGTAGCACTTCAAAACCCCATCTTATTGGATTGTGCAGCCCATAAATGTCCTCCTTAATCGATTTATTTTCATACGTTCTAGAGCGAACAATCCAGGGAGAGGTATGGGGAACAGGTGGAAGAATTGAAGAACTGCATTCGCCTGAACGCCGACGTCCTAACGTACCTGAAAAGCATCACCAAACTCGAAGGTCCACTCACGGTTAGTTTGCCATCGTCTCTTCCCACTGAACCCAATTTCTCATGCCTCAACGTCCACCTTATCTATGTTGATTCTCGTTAATCTACCTTCTCAATCAGTGCAGATCGGCCAAATACCCAACCTTGTTCAGTTGAGATCCTCGCATTTGAGAATCTGAGTTGGTAATCGATGACCAACAGGCCTTTCTTAGTGATCATTAATGCATGTCAGTACTTAAGAAAGTATGCATTTCGTTGAAGGCTCGGACATCCAAATTATGCTCTGTGTTGAGATCCCAGGGTGGTGGTGGTGGTTAATTAACCGGAGATTCTGAAAGACTGGCAGTTAATGGGTCGAGAATCCTAGCAACCACCGCAGTAAACATTTCTGTTTGTTTAGGAGCTCACAACGAAGCTGACCAAAGCCGCCGTCGAAGCCAGCGCCCCAAACGCAGCCCCTGCCACAGTTTTTGCAAACAAGGTAAGCGTTCGACAATGTCTTGTTTCAGTGCCTTGGGTGACCTTGACTTGATAGACCAATAGGAGCTGTCAGTGGAACAAGGTTGTGGCATGATTGGGGCAATTGTGGCAACAGTGTCAAAACCTCAATTACGAAAAATAAATAAAAAAATATCAGTTCTAGACCGCTTTTTTTCATCAGAACTACCCTTAGAATTGTTTTAAACCTCGTTTAGCTTCACAAATGCCCCACCTTCAAGAGAACTTGTGCATTTTGTAGGCGCTGACGGAGAATGTTGCCAACTGCTGGGAGTACGTCGCTCAGCTATTCTCCATCACTCATGCTCACCTGAACGACGCGGCCTCATACCAAAAGGTGAGCCAATCAGCTCTCAGGCGGCAACTTTAAAAGCCAAATTCACCACAATGTGTGTAAAGTGGTGAAATTAGTTGTGATTGCGTTCCCATTAAGGGGGTGTTTCCAAATGAGAATTCTCGCATCAAGTGTCCCTTATTTTTTTTATCTCATTTCATGAATTGTACAATTCGGTAATTCGTCAATTGTAGTTTTACCACACGGCACACGAGGTTGATGCTCATATCAACAAGATGGTTGGACTGGCCGAGATGAAGATGCTTCTGTTTGACCCTCAGGGGACCATTGACGAAGCCCTCATGCTTGCAAGCGAGCTCGATGTAAGATTTGTGCTATCTTTCGAAAGTCTTTAGCCCCAACGTGTTTGTGTGTTGCTATGGTGATGCTAGTATAAAGATCATCCAATTTGCAACCCTACACTAACCTATCACGTGTTCTGAAGACATTACACACGTCCAATCACTTTCGTCTATTCCAATTCAACTCGAATTTTCAATTTCAATCGAGGATAAATAGTTTTTAAATTCTGAGTTCCAGTCTTCACACGTGAATAGTAATGCAAGATCGAGATCAGTGTCTTAAAGGTTTCGCAATATTAGACTAATATCATTGGTGTAGTCTAGACAAAATTTAACTGATTCAGCTTTGCGATCAGTGGAACGTTGGCCAGTTTCAGAAATTCTAGTACGATCTTTACTTGATGAAATATGCAGACCATTTTAGCCCTTTTTCACGTAAGCTTCTCATTGTCTTACAATCTTGGTAACCTAAAATTGGAAACCTGCTCACTCTTTTTAAGGACGATAATCGCGAATTAACGCTTACGTGGGACAAAACCTGCCAGCTAGCCGAAATGGGACGACGTCTGAGGCCAATTCAGAACCGCATTTCCCAAGTCGTCTGCGGACGGACCGTCAACAACTCATCAAAGGGGGCTCCAAACGTCGTCATGGTAAAGGCTCTGATCAATTTCTCTGGTCCGGATTTCGCCATACGGAAGGGCGAAGAGATGATCCTGGTGAATAACGAGAATCCCAACTTCTGGAAGGTGCGGACCACCTTCGGGGAACGCGAGGTCCCCTCGGTGATCTTCTCAACGATTGGACCCAATCAGGAGGAGGTGTTCAAAGCTGATAGGTGGGTATGCATTGGTGTACATCTAAATCGGTCTTTTGACAACAACTTGGCTTCTGTGAACGAAGTATAACGGATTTGTGGGCGATTATTCGAATTTTGGTAAATTTAGATCACACACATTTTATTTTTCTCAGCGTATTTGTTAACACCACTGTTACGTTCGGCCGTAAAAAAGAGGAAACCACTCAAATAACGGTACCAGATTCCTTATTCACGCCAGCACCAACCTTCCCACACTAATACAAGGACAAGACCAGGGCTCGTGTAGAGGGCTTTAATCACGTCAGCCACGTGCGGAGTGAATTGTCAAAAGTGAAACTAGATCGAGTCAAGGTTGACCTTTGACCTGATAAAAAGCGTAATAAAACACATGTTAGTGAAGTAGTGCAAATTGTGCCTAAACCAACGATGAGCAATCTTGGGGAATTGTGGATCCCCAACAATCACATTCCGCAGAAAATTGGTGCTAACCAACTCCACGATTTTTTTGCGATTTGTAGAACTATTTGGCGAGACTAGACAGGGTAAAACTGATCACTCTAGTGCCATTGAAATTTTTGCATTTGTCCTGGTTCAATGTTCTCCTTCTATTACTCCAATTTTCAACAAGAAGTTACCTTAAAAGACTGGCTTGCCTAATCGTTTTTGTCAAATCATTTTTGGTACAAAACTGACGCAAATGACTAAATTTCAGGTCATTTTATCAGCTTGACTAGTCAAAAATCCGAGGTTCTGCAAATCGGATCAGTAAAGCACACTGGTTGCTCGATTTTTACAAGCGATGGTTATGCTGATGATGGTAGCTGCCGTGCATCATCGTGATCATTACCTGTATTCATTGTGGGAATATAATGTGTGCTTGACCCACGAGAAAAACAGCAAAATCTAATGAACCCTGCGAATTCTGCCAAGAAAGCAGCGGGCAGCGTGAAGTGAAAGGAATTTGAAACGCTGCCGATGTAATTACACAGGTTTTCTGAGGAACATGTGGCGAGCAGCATCTTATTACAAACGCCACTCTCTAGGAATGCGTAATTCTGTGGTGTCGTTTGTTTAATTGTCGCCACGGTCGGTGCCCCAGCTCTGTAGAAGTAAATCGGCTGCTTACTTGGTCAAATGCCTCAGCGCCAGAGTCCGATTTGAGGCGGATTAGTTTGTGATTTCTGAATCTGTTTTTCAGCCTGCAAAAAAAATGCATCTCCGACTGGAAGCGCGTGCTGGAACGCACCAAAGGAAAACTAGTGAAGTTCTACACCACCCTGTTCGAACGCTTCTGCAAAAACGACGTAAGTGGTGGTGAACGTGGACCGGCTTCGTTCGGCAATTGCGAGAACGCTTTAAGGCTAACACCAGCGGTATAAACACACTAACATCGCACGAACAAGGGCTTAGGACAGCTGAGTATACCGCCCTAAAGGATGAGTCAGTCATGCTCTTGTGTCCGTGTTCAAACAAGTTCATGCGCACGTCCAAGAGAATGCGTAGACCGATGCATGCTCAGACGTGACCTCACCAACTTAAGGGGACAAGAATATTGATTGGTTGAGAGATGTAGTACTCCCTGGACGTGGAATTGTGTGCAGCAGCTGCATAGAGCTGACTGACGTGATATTGTGGCCCTTGCCCGTACACCCCATGTTTAACTTGAAAGCCTAGGTGGTTCTACACTATCGCCTATTCCGATTTCAATCAACACACGCACGTGTATAGGGATTTCGAAGATATTGCAAAAGGGGACTGCCTTGTTAACCACACACCCACAACTAAAGGTCCACGAATAATCGTCCACCATGTTTTGCACTTCCTGTAGGCCGTCTACTTCGCCCACGAGGACCAAATGAACGAATTCCTCGACGACTTGGACAACATTTTGATAGCGCCGAATTACGACAGCGGTTTCCTGCAAAACGCCTATGACACCTTCACGGAGACCCTAATTCTTCTCTCGTGTAAGTTCGCTGTTCCTGCCTTCGATTGAGGCGATTTAAAGAAATGTGCGTGGTTGATGTCGTCTGTACGCGGATTGTTGGGTGTTGTGTACCTCGGAATGTCGTCTTGAACAAGTTGAACTTGGCCCGACTCAGATACCCGAGAAGACGAGAGGCATAGACACGTCCGTTTACCAGAAAGGTCACCCAAGGTGTGTTCCGTGGGTGCGTGGGGCTGCAGTAGTGCCCGCCAAGTGTAGTTATTGATCAATAGTGTGGGCGAACTGGTTAACATACCCTAGATAGCGGGGGAAGTACGTGATAGCAGATGGACCTCCATAACTGTACTGGGAGGTGGGCGGCATGCCTCAGAGACCAGCAACCAGATTGACGAATGTAAATCAATACAATCCAATGACATATGATGTTCTTAGGACGTTGCCTTCACAATATCCAAGTCCCTCGTTAAAATTTAAGGTGTAGCTGTTCCCCTATTAGTACAAGTCACATGGATTTGGGAAATTCGAGAAACCACTTTCGCCACTAATATGCATCCAGTGCAATTTGAGGATATGGTTATCGTGTGAAGACGCCGGAAATAAACCGATGAAAATCCCGTTTAAGTGACCAATCAACGTTTTGCAATGCGGTGATTTTTGTGTGTAGTTTGAAGGTCGATGCATTGTGAAGAGCCACACGCTTGTCCAAGCACAAAAGATCGGTTTTCCTTATTTTTGCACAAGGCGGTGTTTAAATATGGCCATTTGGGGCATTTAAAACGGAAGCAAAGACAGAGATTAATGACTTGAACATCCCGATCCGCGAGAATCTCGAAATGGAGTTGAGGAGTGACCTTTGGCAAGAACAAACGTTGCAGCACCTTTAGTGGGTTTCAAATTCTAGGGACGTAAATTACCCCATTTTGTTTAGTACGTCAACGACTGCGTCCGCACTAACACCCAGACAAAACACAAATGAGTCAAACTAGGGTAAGACAAGGCTTCGTGTTGATGGCTTTCCTGTACTAACCAAAGGGCCTAGTACGCGTTAAGACGCGCCAGCCCATGTTTAGTGTGGGTGACCTTGAGTGCATTTCAGTGTAAAAGTACATCCGCAGAGGGGGGTGGGACGAAATGAATACAAGAAGTGATGCACACAAACACGAGTGGTAAGCACGAGAACTTGAGAAATGTAGTCTTGCGGATTTGCAATTCCCGACACCCACCTCACGGCCACGGGTTCCTTTTCATTTAGCGTAATCGGTGTTTTTGAAATCAAACACGAAATTGGCCAATTGAACTAAGTATTTAGACGAGGAGGTGCGGTACCGTGGAGAGTACGTAGCTTCAAGTAAAATTCATCCTACGCACGCTTTCTCTTGAGTCTGACCTGAAAAATAGACATTCAATTTCAGCCTATGATTCATTGTAGACAAGAATCGCGAGCCATCGAGTTTCCATTCAGAACATTTATGCCTATTTTGTGTCTACAAATCAGTTGTAGCAGTGTCAAGTCACAGTGACATTTCATAAACGCAGAGCTTCGCGTACGATTCTACTTCCATCAATTACATGTCGCAGTTAAATAATCATGACAGCTTGTGACGATTGTAGGCCCACTAACCTTGTCACAACCAATTTAATGAGTCTCGGATATGTTAAAGAAGGATTTGTCTTAGGTGCCAGACTACAAGGATTTCTGCAGATAGGCCTAGGTGTCTGGTAAAATCAATGAAAGTTTGGTAAGGTTTGCTAGTGGGTCGTGTTCGCGTCCCGTCACTGCCTCTTTTTTTCTTTTTATCGTTAACTTATTGTATCGTGCGAGATGGCGTTGAAAAATAATGGATTACATTATATACGGAGATGCTTTGTGATAACACAATATCGCTGTCTTAATGAGGAGGATGATCTTGTGATTGGCAATTATCGTAAAAACGCATCAAATACACGCTGTGTTGCACGGTTGTTTCAAAACTGCTATCACGAGACAAATTTTGTTTACCGTTAAAAATATGATTCGGTGACGACCACCACGCGTACATTACCAACAAGTATAGGCGAACACGAATTAAATCGATTTATTCAAATTCCTTGCACGCGGCGATGTTTGCTCAGGGATCGATGTCATGCGTTTGTGGCACGATCGAATACGAATTCAATCGATTTATTCAAATTCCTTCCACGCGGCGATGTTTGTTCAGGGATCGATGTCATGCGTTTGTGGCACGATCGAATGTGAATTCAATCGGTTTATTTAAATTCAATCCACGCGGCGATGTTTGCTCAGGGATCGGTATCATGCGTTTGTGGCACGATCGAATACGAATTCAATCGATTTATTCAAATTCCTTGCACGCGGCGATGTTTGCTCAGGGATCGATGTCATGCGTTTGTGGCACGATCGAATACGAATTCAATCGATTTATTCAAATTCCTTGCACGCGGCGATGTTTGCTCAGGAATCGATGTCATGCGTTTGTGGCACGACCGAATACGAATTCAATCGATTTATTCAAATTCCTTCCACGCGGCGATGTTTGTTCAGGGACAGGTGTCAAGCGTTCCTATAAAAGTCGACGCCTTTTCACGCTCAATATCTGCTCTCTTGATCACCCAATAAACGCCTGAACATTCATTGTATTCCGCGTTGTTTCTTGTCACAACAAATTGGTTCATTCGCCAATTAGTTTCGATGCATCTACGTATTATTCACCGTTGGCCAAGGTACAGGCTCGTTCAATTGCATGACAAATGTATTTGGTTACCAGTATGTGTGCTGGTGAATCAGGACCTATTTGATGAAATCTTGTCTTGGTTAATCCCCTTCAACAAATTTGTGACTCATCAAAGTCATTTCGTCATGTGGTCGCTTAGCTGGAAACTCCGGATGGTGCCTTTCAGACCGTACAAGTGGATTCGTTCTCAAGGTGTCCATCGAAAAATCCACTTTAAAGATGATTTTGACAGAAATGACTAGCGACAACTCTGCCATGAAGGACGCATCTGAAATTCTTCGATTTCTGTTGTATACTTTTGTAAAACATTGTTTTTATTTTAAAATCAGCTAATCGAAGGCCACCACGAGGTGCAGTTACGCTCACGGAAGGCGATATTCGAGCTATCCACGCACCACTGCGCAAGATCATAGATCAGGCCAATCAGGTGGACCGGATTCAAGCCCGGGTTTCTATGAACGCTGAAGAGGTGCAGAGGTACCTCAAGTCGGTAGAGGATGAACGTCAGCACATATTCAACGAGATCGCTCGCATGGAGTAAGTCGACCGCTACAAATTACTATTCCTGTTCTGCCAAAATTCTCATTGTGTGCATTTCAACAAAACAGGCATTTCAAACTTGAACATCGGTACAGCCTTAACATCTACATCTTTCAAATTGCATTAAAACTCTGTGGTTTAAATCAAATGGGAACTAGTCACTTCTGGTTATTCGGGCGTCGTTCTGATGGAGTTATGAGTAACATCCAAAGTTGTGCCACTTGGGTTATTTTGGGATTAAGCTGGACTTCTAGACTACGGCGCTTTTGTAGTCGATGTCGAAGTCGGTTCTTGTGGGATGATGTCGATGACTATCAGGAGATGGTGTAAAAAACAGACAGAGTTTTAACGCGGATTCCTAAAATTGCGTATGCAACACGCATGGTCTTGCGAACATGATGCAATCTGCCTTCCTCTCCATCGAATTCTATGAGTGTTATAATTCTGGAGGTAATGCTGATAAAGTTACTAGCACCCAAAATGGTCGAACACTTGTTGTGGCCTCCTGTGTATCACGTTCATTCGGAACGTCATAGAGCCGCAACGTGACGAGTGCGTATCAAATCGTGTTCTCAAAGGATTTTGCTTGTGTGTGTTCATTAGGGTGAGAACCTGATTTTAAACCGACTTTAACGTCCGTTCTTCCGGCCAATTAGTTTAAGACAGGTCTGCTGCACGCAAACAATCAGACAGTTACTTTATTAGCTCGTGGTTGCAAATCGATATCAGTCAATTCCAAATTTGCATTATCTACACTGCTCAACTTATGAAATTAGATTTTGGGTTAAATACTAGGATTGCTGTCAGGGTTGGAAACCACGCTTTGTTACTGTTCGCCACTTCCAAAGCGTTGGCTACATCAACCGCATTAACAAAAACGTGGGATTGTATATTTTACCGCTTCGTCATAGTAACGTAGGTCAAATGTGAGCTTGAACTACGGTGCTCTGGTTAAAAAAAGGGATTGCTACAAGTATCGAAAACACGATCAGTCACAGAGATGTCTAAGGTATTGCAAGACCCTCTTTTTTCCATTTAGAAAAATGCAGAAGGAGAAGGAGGATCAACTGAAGCACCTCGCAGATCGCGTGCTTTCGTTTAGGCACAAACGAAAAGCCATCGATCGGACTATAAGTGAATACACATCGGAACCAGTGGATGATTTACTCAAGTATTTCCCTTCGACTCCGCTCACAAAACCGTTTGTGATTGAGAATGATTACCGCGGGGTCGGCGATCGAGATGAATCTGACGCTTACGAACCATCGGGCAAATCTCGGCTGCAACCGGTCTCGATCGAAAACCCGCCAGACGACTATGGAAACGTAGCGCGACAAATGGTTGCCCCGCATTCTCGACCCAAAGTGAAAGGTGTCACCTTTTCGGGCGGTGTTGTGGACGACCGTGGCGGAGGAACTACGTGGGCTGGAACCGCAACCAACCTAAAACGAAGTGCCAGCACTAATGACCTGCAAACTCAAATCCGGAAGATTACGGTGTCTGCGTCGACGCAGTACGAGTCGATAGACCACGACCGCGAATGGGCCAATGGGCTGGAAGATGCTACTTCCAAGCGACGACCAATTACTTCCATGCATGACAATCGTCTCGTCTTGGCGGATGCTGAAATCAGCTATAAGAAGGACAGATACCAAAAAACCAGCGATGTTCAGGCACAAATTCGAGGGATTACCAAAAATTCCGGTGTACAGGTTGGGGTTCGCGTAGTGCCGAAGGCAATTGACCTCACACAAGTCGAAATTGGTAACCTTGGTCTGGAAGTCCAGGACAATCGTGAAGCAGCCGGTCTAGGTCTCCGTGTTGGCCAGGTTCTATGTCCGGTGACGATTGGAACAGCAATGGATCTTTATGAGGGACCTGGAATACAAGTTCTTGGCATTAATGACGTTGACTCACTCAACTTAGAACTGAGAAACTCCATCGCCCATGCAACTACGGACGTACACAAACGATTAAAGGTACGAGATGTCCAGGCTCAGATCTTCACAAAATCGGACAGTACGCTCCATTCAGAATTCTGGGACAATCTAGTCCAAAAACAACCGGTCAGTGAGACGCAACTGAATGAAGCTCAATTCCATCAGAAGACCGCATCGGTTCAAGCGGTGGCTGCTATGGAAGTCGTCAATATATCCTCAAATGAACCAAAGAAAAATGTCGCCGAGGGATCGGTTGCATCATTTTGTCTCTTACCTGAGAATCAACCCAAAGAAGTTGGACATTTCAATTGTGAACCCACGACATCTGCTGTGATGTCCCAAATCAGCTGCCTCCTGCATTCCCGCGGAATCCACTCTGATCTGCAAACTTACCTTTCCGACTACAAGCAACGCCATGGCATTGCCACAGAAACGTCAGATTTATGCACGCAGATCAATATAATTAGCAAAGATAGCAACGTTAACACAGATGAGATGGGTAACAGGTCCTCAGAGCCACAACGCCAGGTGTCTTCGAACGTTGCCGACGGAATAATACAACCGGTGAAAGCCGAAGGCACGGCCTCCTTCAAGACTGAGGCGTGGGCTTCTACGACAGTAGACAACAGGGCTGCTCAGGAATACCCAGACTCACAGGATGCTCAAACGTTGATAAGAAATGTGGTCAACAATGCAGAAACCCAGGTGTCATCGAAACTCATCCCAACAGAGGTAACTGTGAGCAAAATCAAGACGACAAACATGGAAATATCATTCATTAATCAACTGCAAGAAGCAAATATCGCATTTCCAGTCGATTCCCTGGTCTGTCCAGCTGATATGAAATTCCGATCGGAACTTTACGAGGGAAGCGAATTAGCCATGGCTGACTACAATGATTTGGGAAATATTCTTGTCACACACAGCGATTCTGTTGCAAGAGGTTCCTTCAAACTGGAACCCACTTCGCAGAAGAGTGAAGACGTTCAGACTCAAATTATTAGCGACTTAAAAACCCCAGCAGCTGTTGTACTGAGAACGGGTGAGGTGGACAGGACTAAGCGCGAACTTCTTGTTGGAGAGGCTACCACCGGTTCAAAGTATGTGCCGAGGTTGAAGCTTGTGGTAACAGACGTCACTGCGACCCCGCAACAACAAGTAAATCCACAATGTGACTTACAAACGCAAATAAGTAGTATGAGTGGACCAAAAGGCACCGATGACTCGATAATCAGTGAAACAGAGCTTGTAGAAGGAGGAAGCAGCGTGGCTCGAAAAAATTTGACGACTGAGAGTGGTTATTCCACCCAGAAAGACACGAACGTTGAAATTAGCGAGAACCGAGTGAGCGTAAAAGATGCCAGCGAACAGACATTCCCAATTGTCAGCGAGACGATTTGTGCTAAATGCGGACAAAAGTATTGTGACTTACAAAATCAGCTTAACGCAAACACGAAAAATGAGCCCAATCATCGATCAGTGTCACAGACAAGGGAAGGCAGTGTTATCGCCGACGTCAGTGCGCAAGTCGTAGAAGAAGCATTCGCGACGACCCCTCGCCCGAAGCCACAGGTGGGCGCGGTTGACGCTTCCATGCAAGTGGCCGTTGAGTTAGTGCCGATAGAGATAAAAATGTCACACTGTGATATTGAGGACATGCAGCTGGAATTTGAAGAGGTTGACAACCAAGTCAGTAGCAGTGAAGTCTACAAGATGCGAATGAAGTCTGTCACGTGTCCGGCAAGATTAAAAGTAAAAACACGCCTAACTGAAGGCTCGGGTGTACACGTCGTTGGCATCCAAGACACTAGACAGATTGGATTTAGTGTCAGTTCTACGCCCACGAGATTTGTGGAGGGAAATGTTGCGTGTGTTGGCGGCGCTGTGGACGATGAGTTCCAGTCGTTAGTTGCCTTCGAACATCCCATCAAAACGGGTACTGTGGCAGCCAGGAGCCGAAATTCCAGCAGGTCGACACAAAGAAGCCTCATTCGACTTATCCCCTGCGAAATCGACAGTAAAGCGACAAGGAACACTCACACAGACTCACAGAGTTTCAAGATAACGGCAACTGCTTTCACGCAAGTGGGTACACAGCTTATTCCACAGGCAATAGGTATCTCACCAGTCTCTCTGGAAAACATGGAGGTTTCCGTGGCTAGTAAAGAGACAGGAGTGCAAGAACAGTCTTTGTCTGCATCTGCAATTCTTTATCCCGCAGAAATCGAATTGGTCAGTAAACTCACCGATGACAGAAGTGGTTTTGAGATTGTATCTTTGGCACAAGTTGAAGCCCTCCAATTGAATACCTCGGAAGAAGAGACGCACTTGCGTTACAGACATGCCTCGCTAACAAATGTAAACGGTCCTCATCCAAGTGCTGACCTCCAGACTCAGGTTGGACCAACTGACACAACCAAAGATAAGCCCCACGTCCTTCCGGCTAGCATTGTGATGAAGACAAAACAGTTTGACGGTAGTTCCAGGGCTCCCGAACTCGTGACCCAGTCTTTCGTTGGGAGTCTGCTCTCAGACGCCAGAGGATGCAAAGCACTCACACTCAGAGCGGTAGCTGCAACGAGAATGGGCAGAAGCGACAATGGGGTTGCGTTGGTCAATCAAGCTGCATATTTGACGAAAGAACAGAGTACTCAGGCAGTTAGCTCAGAAACACCAAAAATCGGCCAGGAAGTTTACCTGCCACTTCAAAAACCAGCAGCTTCGGCGTTGCGAAAATCAGAAGGCGTCCAGGTTGGCATGAAGATGGTTGCCAAATCGCTTGAAGTCTCCCAGATCCCTGTCGGAAATCTCCAGCTGGAATCGACAACAGGTTTGTCAGAGCAGAATGTCAGCTACACTTTTGATTCGCTTCGATGTCCTGCAAAAATAACTCTGCAAACAGAACTTTGTGAGGAAAGTGGGATTCAGGTCTGTTCGCTTGACCAGGCAAAGGAAATCGACGTTGGATTAGTCAATGAATCAACGCATTCCCCGATCTCGCCACGAATTTCCTCAAAAGAGCATTCGACAAGACAGCGAAGCCTCAAGGCTGGTTGGTGGAGCAGCATAATAAGCGGTCGAACTCCACCAGTTGAGAGCAAATCCATGCAGAATGCGGTCGTAAAGCTCCCCTCTCAAGGCATCCAGGTCAGTTCAAAAGAGCTCCTTTCAAAGGAATGCAATTTGATACTCGAGGCAGAAGCGTCGCTTATTCCGAGCAGTTTAGTCAGCAGCACCGAGACAAGGGTGCCCACCAGCAGCAGCGCCAAGCAGCAATTCAAATTAGTCATGACTAATACCAATAATCAGGCCACAAATAAGAAAACCACAATGCAAACCTTGGAAGGACCAAGCGCAAGGGATTGTGAGATCCAAGTCGGCATAAAACTGATTCCTAACAGTGTTGAAGTCAAATCGATTAAGATGGAGAATATGGAGGTGGAGATGGCAGATACAAAGTCAGTAAATGTACTGAAAGCTGATGTCAGCGCCATCCTATGTTCCTCTGGAATAAAGTATGACGAAGTCTTGGTTGAATCACCAGGCATCCAGCTAGTTGATATAAACGATACAGATGAAGTTGAAATAAATTACAACAAGGCAACCTATAACGCTCAAGTCATTTCAAATGCCAAAAGACAAATAAACGAAGAAATTGTTTCCTCAGTAGGATCGAAGAGCAGAGAGGGAAAAGTGTGGAACACGGTTCCGCAGATGTCTCAATCTACGTACTCCGACGGCACAAGAGAAGTCAAAACAAATGAAACCACGACGCAGTTTGAGACACGATTGCGCGTGAGACATGAAGAATACACAACAGAACAGAGCCTTCGAAGTGGAATGTGGTCGGACAGGAACAGAGCGAGTATGGTTGATGGAGTAGCCCAGGTCGGCCTGAACCTCGTTCCTCGAATTGTGGAAGTGAATTCAATTGCCGTGGAGAATCTCGATGCTGTGAGGGAATCCAGAGACCAAGGTACGTGTGACCAAGTCGGCGTCAGTGCCATGTTGTGCACCACCGCCACCGAATACGACGAGGTGCTGACGGAGTCGCGGGGCGTCAATGTGGTGCCGATTAACAAAGCCCAGGAGATGCAAATCACACATGGAGGAAATGCCTATTACACTACCGTAGAAACACAGAAACGCGTTCCCACACTTGGCTATTACAGCGGTCATCGAAATCAGGTACCAGATGTGGAGTCGAGAGAAACACGACTTCGTGTCCACCATGCCGAGTATTCTGCTGAAGGCGACCACCAGATTCGGGCCACACACTACGACAATGGCAGATCAGTGGAGAGGGTCGACGGCGGTACACAAGTCGGTGCAGTATTCGTCCCAACCGAACTGACTATGCAGCGAATGAGTCTAGACACACAGCAGATCCCAGGTTTGTCGAGGTCCGTGTCGGAGAAGAGTGTTTTGTGTCCTGTCGGCATGAATATTTCCACCGTACTCACTGACGGTTCAGGTGTGCAGATAGCCGACGTCAAGAACACGTCTGAGATCTCAGTCCAAATGCACCAGGACAAATACGCAGCCGATATCACAACTGACTCGGCCACCAACCAAGCACGCATCAGCCTCAAAGAGAAGTCCATCTCTATGACAAGACAGCCGCTTAGTGCGCACATTTCTCTTGTCGACCCAACAGCAAGGCGAAGTGACACAAGCTACACCAGTCAGGTGGAACGGTCAGGCAGAACGTTCGGTTCAGCTACCACACGATTGAACTCGAGATCCGTTCAAGTTGGAACCCTGCTTGTACCGACAACCATTACGATGGAAAAAGTCAACGTGGAGAACCTAGAGATTGAGGTTCCACTGAGCCCTGGTCGACATGCTGGTGTTAATGTGAGCGCAGTGCTGGCGTCTTCTGCGACAGAAATGACCGCCGTTCTCACCAATGCCTCAGGAATTCAGGTTGTTCCCATGAAGAATGCCGGCGAGATTGGAATTCAAATGGGCGGAAAGACGTATGTTGGAAGTGTCGACGCGTCACCTTCTGATCGCGCCGCTGGAACATCTCACACATCGGGAGTCTTAAAGGACGGCAACGTGGAGCTGAAACGCGACATGCAGCACATTGTGTTGCCTTTGCGAATGGAAAGTGGAACCAGCCAGGCCTCTGCGTACGCCGAAGGTCTTCTTAGGCAGAGTACTGATTTGAGCAGACTCCACGATGTACTGCGATCGAGGGAAGCTACACCGAGTCTGCGAGTCACAACGTCCACCTCATCCAATCTGCATAGCCGCCCAGGTCTCCTGAGAATGTCAGGGGATTTGATCACCCCCGTGACTGAATCCATGGTTGAGTCGTCCTTGCCTCCTGCCAAAGAAATGAGGGATAGCGAGGTTCAGGTGGGACTTAAACTTGTTCCTCAAACGCTCGATGTCGAACACGTGAGAATGGAGAATATGAATCTTGTTTACAAACCAACTAGTGGATACGAGCAAGAATCGAATGCTGGAAGACTTATCATTGCCTCTGGTTTGCATTACGATCCAGTACTCTCAGATACAGTCGGTGTTCAAGTCGAGCCAATCCAATCTGCTGATGTTGTTCGTATCCGTGATGGAAGCAACGTTTTTCATGCGACGGTGGTTTCTGACCGTAATTTGACCCATTGTAAAGAAACTAGTATTGGACAAAGTAACAGGTATTTAACATCAGTTTCTGGTACACCGCATACGTCCATGGAAGGCGAGACTACTCTCCATATCTGTCACATCGAATCTGCTTGCGATGGCAAGCCTTTACTGATTAATGCCACAACGAATCGCGATATTCCAAACCGGTCTGCTGTTTTCTCATCCGCCGCTGAAAACTGGATTAACTCATCCTGCCAGTATTGTGGTCGTCGAAAGGTTGAAACGAAAATTAAAGATTCAACAGATCTATTCACCGGAAGCTCTTCTGCCTCGCTAAAAATTCCCTGTTTACAGAGTGATGCTTCAGTCCAGGTTGGTATTCAAATCATGCCCAAGTCTATAAAGCTCGACAGCGTCGCCGTGGAGAATCTTTTGCTGGAAGTCAAGGACGAAGAGATGGCAGCAAACCTCGAATTTCCGGTTGGGGCTATTTTCTACCCATCCGAAATTGAGGCTGAGGCAGCCCTGAATGAATGTGGAGGCATTGAAATGCAAGAGGTTGACACCATCAGGGAAGTAGTTATTGAGCATGGCGGCGAAAGGAAGGTCGCAGACGTGTATTTCTCACCGCCGAAAAAACTCGTAGGGTCCTTTGAAAGCATTAATTCAGAACGGCAGGAGCTGGCACAAGTGTCAAGAAAGCAACAGCAAACAACTGTGAATAGGAAGACACTTTCCCTCAAGACAGCCACCATCATCCTTCCAAAAAGCCAACCAGAAACGTCAGATTCCATCTTCAAAACCGGACCAATGACCATTAGATCTTCGAGTCAGAAGCCTCGCATCTTACTGTCCGGAAGACGAAAACAAGTAATGCGTGTGAGGACTGAAGTCAGTACTGAACCAACGGGAGCTGCTGAGTCTAGGATATTCACATGTCCATGTGGACGTTTGTACTCATCAACAGACGGCAAAAACCGTCCCCTTAACGTCTCTTGTAACGCCTGTGGCGCCAGCGGTGTTGTAGTTGTCGAGGGAGCTGAGAGTATTTCTCAAGAAGCAGTTGAGCCCATGTACACATTGATTCAGAGACCCAAATTGGAGGAAACGAAATCTGCTGACTGGTACAACGTAGCCTGCGAGGCCAAAATCCAGCCTGAAATGTTCTCGAAACGCCTTACTGCAAAAATTTTTGCTTCATCTGCGGAAATTGGAACTCAATTCTACGGTAGTGTTCAAAATGCTGACGATGTTCCCAATGAGACCATTGTCTTGCTCGAATCCAAAACTGACAGCCCATATCGTCAAATCACTTCTGAAACTACCTACCATCCACTGACACAGGGAACCACAATTAACCGAGTAAAATCAACCGGGAATTTGACCGTTCAACAAACGAATATGGTTCACATGAGTACCCAGTGTACGATAACTCACAGAGATTCACTGGCGGCCGTAAGTGCCATTAAAATTAATGCAGCGGCTGGATTTCACCAATCAAGATCGCCTTACACCGACGACATGACCTCCATAACTCTTGAGGGCGCGAGCAAAGACGAAACATTTGGCAAAACCCAGAGGCGTACTCATTCTGCTGATTCTCAAGCACAGAAGAAAACCGCCAGGATTTGCGCAAAGTGCCAGAATAAAGTCAATAATACGGAAACTAATGCTTCAGAATCTGTTACACAAACATTGACGATTCAAAGGGGTTCTACGGAGAACGTTGCTGGAATATCGGAGTCCACATCGGCTTCTCGGACATCTGCGCTTCGAAGAAACTTCTTCTCTGGAAGCACACACACTCGTTCCTCGGAGTTTATTGATACTATTGGCAGCCATACGGATGCAGATCGATGCGCGATGTGTCGAGCTGAACTAACCTCTGGTGACTTGACCACATCTATATTATCAAGTACTTCTAGCCTTGCTGGCTTTGAACCTATGACGAATGTTGAAACAAAGGAAATCGCGGAAGCTTTCACACAAGTAAATAGAACAACAGCAGATGTAGGCAGCTTTGTCAAGGGTAGACACCACTTGTCGCTTTATCAGTCCCTAAAGGAAAATCGAATTATCCAGGCAGTAATTCGAGATTATGAGGTGGAGAAGGGTAGAGCGTCAGGTCAACTGTCAGTGGAAGCCAAAGAACTCGCCGATATTATGGCTCCAACTAGTCGCCAGACAGCGTTGACTTCTAGCCAACCACCTGCCTACAATGAATTGCGACACAACATGCTCGCGAGAAAAGTTGTCGAAAGTTACGAAGCTTCCAGACGCATCCAGAGAAGGGACGATTTTGTTCAGACTGATGAAAGTCATCTTAGTGAAAGGAACCCAACTGACTACACAAGGTCGCTCAGCACCGGTAGCCAGGCTCAAAACGCCGCCAAGCAGATTATCGAGGTCGTTTCCACATTTGCAAGGCGCGAAAGTCAAGTCTCCGCGAAGAAGTCGCTCTATGTTACTCTCAGAGCCAATCCAATTATTCATCAAGTGATCAGGGACTACGAGAAAGATAAGTGCGAGCAGAAGTATCCACTAATATCGCCTTCTGAAGCAGAGGAGATTGCAGAGGTGGTCGCTAACGCCCACCTCTTGGCGCAGACTGACCAGAGATCTGTCACAGATAAGTCCCTTTACGCCAATCTCGAGAACACTCAGCTAATTCGCAAGGTCATTGCCCACCACAAATCTGAACGACAGGAAACCCTGAAGGAAGCACTTGTACAAACTGAGATCCCACTTACAGCATCCATAAAGACCCCAATTCAAAGCCTCGACGGTCAGGTAGCGATACTCGAAGCAGAACAATTCGTATCGGCGACTACCAGCTCCCACGGTGGCTCATCAGTCGCCAGGCGAGTTAAAAAACGGCGACCAATCAATGCACCCCTCTCCTCATCAATTAGCAGTGACTCATCGGGCGACGAAGTTGTCGAGGTTTCGAGTAGACCCCGATGGTCCCCTCTGCACACATCCGAAAGCACTAAATATGATGTTGCGTGTTCAGCCCTTATAACTCCCGAGGTTTGGGACAAGAGGATTCAAGCCGACACGATGACTGACAAACGGTGATTGTACCCTGACCTCCTCGCGTTGACTTTGTATTCTGCCTATTGTTAAATATTTTCACATTTTTTTATTATATTTTAGTTATTTCCATCTAGTTTTTTATGAATCCAAGCCCACTTCACAAGATGTGCGATTTCTTCCGGCTGTGGATATAGTTTTTACAGACTTATTGTTTAAGTTAGAGCAATTAGTGTTATTAACTCAAATGTACACGAATCGAAAGCTATCTGGGGAAAGCGTAGGAAATGTTGGCCGCATTATTTAACTCGTTTAAGAATTCCTTGAAGAAAACGCAGCCCACAAGCCGCCAAGTTGCTTAAAATCCCAAGTTTTTCTTGCCTGAGATTTAGTCTGGGGAGGTTACCACCTCACTACAGTTGTTAAAACACGGCAATTGTCACCCTGATTCAATTGGAGGAGCAAGTGTGAGCCATGGGATCTCCATTAGGAAGTTGACGCTTGTGCGATGCCGAGTTATTGCGAAGCGAAAGCCTCTTATTCTTTGATTATTTACAAAGTAGCAAACAAGCCCTGATTTTCCAGATCCTGAAAGATCGTTTCAAGTCTATGAGTCTTCCTATCGTTTTTACTTTTAACCTTCTATTTAGCCTTCCTTTTGACTGGTGATGTGTCTTAATCGCTGGTTATGCGTCTCCGCCATTCCTTGTGCGCAATGTTCTATCCAAACTGTAAACACTTTACTGCAAATTTCCAACACGTTAGTCGATCAAACCGACGCCGGTACGGTGTGTGCACTTGGACCGCTTCGGCTAAAAACTACCGCCTACCCATTAATCGATCGTTCGATTGTGCGAATACCTGTCAGTGCACTTAAGAAGAAGCTTAAATCGGCGGTTTTGACTAATTCTGCGTCAGCCTGTATTTAATCGGTAGATGTTGAAGTACGCACCCTCAAACACAAATTTGGTGCCCAAGTAAGCACAGAACCATCAAAACAGCAGTCCTTTGATGCTTTAAATGACACCGAAATCGCACACCAGATTTGCTTGCTTAGACTAAGTCCCTCACACGCCGCGTACCTGGACTGTGCACTTGCAACCACCATGTGTGCAGACAGGTGCTACCGGTGACTCCTTCAGACCTTTTACTAGACAAACCAAAGACCCTCTCTGTGCAAATGTGTATTGGGTTGAGCCGAATGCCCACATAGGGGCCATCAGTTGTAGAAACCTCACAAACCCGTGAATTTTCCGGAGATGGCTGAGGCACAACTGTTTAGTAAATAATCAACTAAGCCGTGGTGAAGTAGTCAAGTTTAAGCATGTTTTCAGATCACAAAACATAAAGGAAAGTTATACTTGAGTGCATGGGAGCGTTGAGAATGGGGAATGGAAGAAGGGGGTTACCATGGCGCTTGGCGATAACCAATCAGCGGAAAAATTCGACCTGGCTGTTGAATTGTAGGGAATATTGGCATTCTCCCAAAAGCCTATTTACTTGTAGTATTGGTGGTCCAATTAACCTGGCTACATTAAAAAATACAGAGCCTGTGAATAAAATTTCACAAAATAGTAACTGTAATCTATCTCACAACGGACCTGCTAAAAAATGAGCAGCAAAGAATTTTTCTGGCTTCGTAAAAATAGGACAGTTTCCTGGGCTGAATAGTGGACTTCCTACTAGCTACTTATCCGCAGCATGCCAGTAGGCTGAAATGCCACACCGTGAAATCCGAGGCACCAATGTCAACTGTTCATAAATTGCAACCGGTTTTATGTCCGTCGAGGAGTCCCAAAATCTATCAACTTTGTTGGACTCCGATTGGTCCGTGATATCTTCCAGACTCAAGAATTGGCGTACTTCTCATGGGTGCAAGCCATGCTCCTTATTTGGATCGTTACCATCGCTCACATACAGCAGCCTTCCTTACCAAGAGTGCTGCCTAGGGCATCGGCTGTCCCTTTGTTATTTCTGTTTGATGCTGCAGCAAATTATCCCAGAGCTGCCAAAGCTCTCTCTTCCTGTGACAAGGAGCCCTTGAGCCTGATTCGAGCCGGATTTGGCAGAAGCCCGATGTGATTCTCAAACCTCACGGAAGTAGCAACTGATGTTGCCGGTGTACTTGACAGGATCGCTAAACAGATTTAAAATTTCCCTTCCGTTTTAATCCGCCCGTCAAATTCACACAGCATACTTGAGTGGTGTCGTTGGCTGCGACCGTGAAAGCTCTCTCCTCGAGGTCGTGTCTCGTCTTGGCACTGGAAAGGACTAGGAGTTCGCGTATTTGTTCTCTTGGCGTGTTTTGTTTACTGACAAAACGTAACTATTTGCAGACTTAGGTGATGCTAGCGAATTTCTGGGACTCACCGCACACACAACGACCGCCCACATTAACACACCTCCTAACGACAACTCCACTAATAACGTTACAGCGATTGCGTACGAGGCAACGTTAAAACCTCGGTTTAGATCCTATACAGACCTGTTACAAATCGATCGGCTGCAACAGCTACTTGGTCGATGCGTTTTCTGATTGGACAGTTTCCCTAATTAATGGAAACAAGATTAAGAGCTAAACTGATTTCGTGGTTCTTGTTAACCTAAACGGCCATCTTGGCAGAGAATGAGTCGTAAGTGAGCTCCAATAGAGCGAACAGATGAGGGGCTGATCCCCTTGTCCAAGTCAAACTAGGAGAGAATCCAATTACGTTGGTTTCGATGCAATTGCGGCATCATTTCTACAGCAGGAAAGAGAACATACAGCAAGAGCGAAATTCCAAACGTGAATTGAATGCTTCCTTTGTGTTTGTCGAGAAACTGACACAAAACCAAATTCAAACAATCGAACTCCCTTTCTGGCTCGGATGAGTCAAGGCCCCTCAGAACTAAAGCAAGAAATGGCCTTGATTACAACTGAGAGTAGTATTACATTCAAAGGCGAATGCGCCAATAGGAAGGAGACGGTAGTGAAAAATTGAAAAGTGCCAAAGGATATAAAAGTGAGGCCAAGTCGAGGCTGAGTCTCCATCAAATTTCAAATGCGGTTAGACCTGTTAAGTCAGGTTAGAGATGGATGATTCAGTGCAGTTTTTAAAGGCTCCGTGTTCATACTAGGTTGCGTGTACTTACAAGCCACATACGTGCACGGGGACATGTCCACAGGGGTGCATGATGGGACATGCCCGCGTAACCAATAGGATGCTGAGTAGAGGAGGCGGAAGGGGGGCAAGAGACGGTGTCCGGGTGCATGCGGCGACGCAAGTGAGGCCTGTGAATCAGCCCTTTTAACTTGTGGTCTTTGGAGCAAATTGTGGTTATATCTACAATCACAGGTCGTTTATTCAACTTAGTTTCCGTTTGTTTAAATCTACATCACCCGCACCCTATTTCTTCGGTTTTCTGTACTCATGAAACGCTTTTCGGATAACTTAAAGTCGCTTCATGACGTGACATTGCTGGATTCTCATAATCTGTGCAGCATCTGCCTTCGCATCACACATTAAATGTGACATTTGAAGCCTGTAGCCAACGGGTTTGATCGGCAAAGTTGACCTTGAACTGTCATCAGAGAATATCAAGTAGTGCGTGAATTCGCTTGTTAAACAAAATTAGGCACTGGGAATTTTATTCCCGGGAAGGGATTAAACCTCGAAATTGTCATCCGTTACGAAGAATCGTTTAGTACAAAATATTCATTAAGATTAGGGAAACAAGACAGAGGGGATGCTTCATAGTGGTACTGACCATCCAGCAGAGTAAAGTGCAACACAGTGTGGAATACCTTTCGCCCAATTCCATCTTCTACAAACGGCCAGAAAGTTCTGGGTCAGACGAGCGTCGGGAAGTAAATCAACAATCAGCCGGATCAGACATTCAGGTTTCCAGGTGCATGTTCGTATATCTACATATCAACGATGTCGCCACGTATTCACGCTTGCGCCGCATGTTGCGACTAATCCACAATTACTGTCACCAATGCTAGTAGCATTTATGTTAGGCTTGGAAAAAAGCCATGCAGACTAGGCACTTCGACAAAATGAGTGTGAGTATTCTTTATTCCGGAATGTCGAATTCACGCAATTTGCGATTTGTGCCTACACTGAATCACAGGCTAAACCTTCGACGTCAATTTCTCAGGTCAGAGCGAAGTAAAGGGAATTCCAGTTGAATTTACGCACTCTCCACGGTACCACACCTTATCCATAGGATGTATCATCAAGATGTCTTGCCTAAGGGCCAATTTTGCGTCCGATTGTAAAAATACTAAAGTTAAATGAAGAGGAAGATTTGGGATTTGGAGAACCATCATCCCCATGACTATACTTCTCATGACTTTGACAATCTTCGATGTTTCACAATCAATCATGCTTATGCACACCACTTTTGTATGCAAATCGGCCGCCCTGCTCCTACTGGCCTGTTCATCTGCGCGCGTACTTTCACTCTGAAGTACACTGAAGGTCGCTCACGCCATGTGCCATCGTGGGCGCATGTGAACGTGGACTCGGCCTTAGGCTAGACCGGTATAAAACCCTCTGAATTTGGACCTGTCCTGTCGTAGTTTGTCGAGGTGCTTACTCATTCGTGTCTTGTCTGCGTGCCAGCACGGAGGCAGTCGTTGACCGGCTAAACATGTCAACTGAAAGTCTCGCTGTGAGGCCGGAGCTAAAAAATTGTTTAATCTGTCGGGGCGCCAAATGTGCGAGAACAGGCGGTTGCATAAACCCAGGTCATGTGTTCACATAGCACCGCCACCACCAGCCGCAAAAGTGCATGTGTGCTGCTCTAGGAACCAAGGGTGCCAATCCCGATGAAGACAAACCCGGTTAGTAGATGAGGCAACCCCGTTCTCCATACGAAGCGGCTGTTACGAGGCCATAAGCCATTCCTACCTCAATAACCATCTTGATATCTCGTAAACTAGTGCTTTACATAGTTAATTGTTTTACTTTTTCGAAAGTAGTCATTCCTATAGCTAATTTTTAAAGTCTTATCGATTTCGGATTTGTGAAAACGGCATGAACGATGAGACATTTTGTAGT